CGGGGCTGGCAGCAGCTCCCGCTCCCAGCAGGTGCACGGGGCCCCGGCTCCTGCCGGCGTTCACCCCAGGTGTACCTGGCGGTGCCACCGAGGAGGATGTGACCGTCCAGGGGGATGCGATGGGCTTTGCAATGCGGGGCTTTGCACGTCCTTCGTGGCACCTGCACCCATCCTGCTGGATAAATGGGGAGGTTCCCCGTGGTCTCTTGCACCCCTGCATGGCACGTGCCATGGGCACGTTTCTTGCTTCCCTTTGCCTCATCCCTCCCAGCAGCTCCCTCCCCAGGTGGCCTTTCTGGGGGGTCTGGGGGTTAATGCCAGGGGTGCCTGCTCTCCACAGGTACAGCCTGTACGCCCGCACGAGGCTGGGCTACCTCTTCTACCAGTGGCAGGGGGGCGAAGGCCCGGAGCGGGCCGCACGGCCACTCCGTACCCCAGCCCCGCCACTTCCCCGGTGAGTCCTGGCCAGACCCCTCTGCCATGGCCCTGACATGTCCCCCAACACCTGCACTTTGGGATGGGGGGCAGTTGCCATAACCAAATTGCCCAGAGCATGTTTAACAGAGAATTTTATTTAAGATGTGGGGAGATTGGCCCATCTGCCCTGTCCCTTCCCTGTTTCCCAGGCAGGAGGGTCATGCTTTGTTGTCTCTCCATCCATCCCTCCCCCAGGGGTGAAAATCCTGCCCATTCCCGTGCTCTCCAACAACTACAGCTACCTGGTCATTGACACTGGCTCTGGCCAAGCAGCAGTCATCGACCCCTCTGACCCACTGGCCGTGCAGGTGAGACCCCTGTGAGCCCCCTGACCCAGTGTTTATCTATTCCTGGTTGACAGGGGGGCTCTCTGGCTTTCTGGGGGGTGCAGAGAGGGCATATTTGCCCCTCATCTGCAGCCCTAGTCCCCACAACAAGGTTAGAGGGGTGTTAGAGCTCACCTAGTGCCTGGGGAGCTGGGCAAGGCCAAGGTCGGGATTTAAGAAGAGACCAGTAGTTGGGGTCTGTCCCTGTCCCCACAAATCTCGTGTGTCCCCAATTCCCAGGCTGCCATTGAAGAAGAAGGGGTGATGCTGGAGGCCATATTCTGCACCCACAAACACTGGTAAGGGGCAAGTGGGAGCCCAGGGGGAGTCAGTAGCTGCCATGGAGGGTACCCCAGCTGAGGTGACCCTACCCCACGTGGGGTGGGAGGGACACATTTGGGGGTGCTGACCTCCCTGCCCACAGGGACCACAGCGGGGGGAACGCAGCACTCCGCCAGCAGCATGGCTCCTGCAAGGTGTACGGCAGCACCCTCGATGCCATCCCTGAGCTCACCCAGTAAGTCTTGCAACCCCACGGACCCCCACAGCACCTTCATAAATTGGGGGGGATGGAGGCTTCACCACCACTCTCTGCTCCACCCATCCACCAGTCCGTCCCCACCAGCACCACGTTGCCCCCTTCATGGGCAGAGATCTGGCATACTCACAATCATAGTGTACTGGAGAGGTGTTGCATGGGGAGGTGGGCATTTTGGGGTGCCAGGGGTGGGGGGGATACCCTGATGGTGTACTCCTGTGCCCGGTGCAGCCCACTTGCTGACAGGGAGAAGGTGAGCGTGGGCTGCCTGACCTTCGAGGCGCTCGCCACTCCTGGCCACACCGTGGGCCACATGGTGTACGTGCTGGATGGGGAGCCCTTTGGTGGCCCCCCCTGCCTCTTCTCTGGGGACCTCCTCTTCCTCGCTGGCTGTGGTGAGTGCTCCTGACCCCAGACCTTGGTGGCTGGGAAGTGGTTACACCCTGGGAAGGGCCTGGGGGGACCCCCAGATCTCCTTGCGATGAACCGCGGTTGCTGCGTCCAGGCAGGCTGTTTGAGGGCTCCCCTGAGACCATGCTGGCTTCCCTGGACGTGGCTGTGAGCTTGGGCGAGGACACGCTGCTGTGGCCAGGTGAGTGTCCCCAGTGGCAGGGTAGAGCTGCTGCTGTCAACCCTGGCTACCTGCTGCCAAGCTGGGGAGCCAGGGAGGGGCAAAGCTAAGGGGCACGGGGGTCCCCAGGGCATGAGTATGCGCTGGAGTGCCTGACCTTCGCCATCCTCCTCGAGCTGGACAACCCTGCGCTGGAGCAGAAGCTGCTGTGGGCAGCGCAGCAACGGCAGGAGAAGAGGAGCACAGTAAGGCCAGGGGGCTTCCTCATTGCAGCCCTCGCACCCCCACACCCCTCACAGGGTTCCCCCTCAGCAGGGATGCTGCATTCTGACACCCTCTTGCTTGGTGGGTGCCACAGGGGAAGGGGGAGCTGGGAGGGCAGGGTGTGTCTTGGCTCCCTGTCGGGGGTCCTGCCTCTGACGGGACCGGCTGTCCCCGCAGTGCCCCTCCACACTCGGGGAGGAACAGACCTACAACCCCTTCCTGCGGACCCGCCGGCCGGAGCTGCAGGCAGCGCTGGGGCTGTGGCAAGGGGGTGGGGAGCATCCTGATGCCTTCCGTGCCCGAGTCCTCAAGGAGGTGCGGAGGCGTAAGGACCTCTACAAAGCCACCTAGACACCCTCCCTCCTCTTCCCTGGATTCCCCCCCCCCTTCCCATGGGGCTTGGTGCTGCTCAGGCACAGGGCCCCAAGACTGTGTTTTGTTTTGCTGTGAATCTCCCTCCTGGGGTGCAGGGCTGGGGGGGAAGAGTGGACACCCTCCCTCCTGTGGGCACCCCATAAGTGATCCCTGCCTTTACACCCCCAGACTTGGGGGTCACCAGCTGTCACGTAGAAGCACCTCAGTCTGTAGCCCCCACACCCCAGTACTAGGGCTGTAGGGATGGCAGAAAGGGCTTTTCCTATCCCATATTTCTGGGAGCCTTCAATTTTACCCACCCCCTGCCCCAGCACTCAGGGAGTCCCTCACTGCCCCCAGTGCTGTGCATCTCCTTTGGGGAGGGGGGCTGGGGATGGACCCCCAGTACTACCTCTAGGCAAGGGGCTTTTCTCTAGCACCCCATGTTTGGTGCCGGAGCTGCCCCCCCCATGCACGCGCACACTGGGATGGGGCCATGGGGGGGGTGATGCTGTGCTGGGGGGCTGGAGCCCTCCTCCAATCCCCCCCCCC